TGTGTGTGTGTGTGTGTGTGTGTGTGTGTGTGTGTGTGAGTGAGAGAGAGAGAGGGTTTGTGTTTGTGTGTGTATATATGTGTGTACGTGTGTGTGTGTGTGTGTGTGTGAGTGAGAGAGAGAGAGGGTTTGTGTTTGTGTGTGTATATATATGTGTGTGTGTGTGTGTGTGTATGTGTGTGTGTGTGTGTGTGTGTGTGTGTGTGTGTGTATGTGTGTGTGTGTGTGTGTGTGCAGGCGCATCACTGATGGTTTTATTGGTCTGCTCTCTGTGTTTGTGTCCGGCATTCATGTATTGGGCCGCTGGAAGGACACACTCATGTTTTCCTCCAGTAAATACTGCAGCTGTGTTGTATTGTGTGACTCAGTGAATTGTGGGTAAATGCTCAGTAGTTTGGTGCAGAATGTTTCTCGGATGTGCTGATAGTTTGTGCAGGGTCAGGAAGTGTTCCTCCTCCTCCACCTCTGCCTGGGCGCAGTGTGGGCAGATGCGTCTCTCTCTGGGTCGCCAGTTCTGTCTGTATGGGCCCGTCTCTACACTCAGCCTGTGTTTGCTCATTGTTGTTCTTAGTTTACTCTCCTTTACTGCGCTCAGATATGTTGCTGTGCTAAAATCTCTGTTTAGGTCTAAATAACGTTGAAGTTGACTTTGTTTTCCGGCTGCTTCATTCCAGTAAATCAGATACTCTTCTTTTCATGCGTTTGTTATTTGATTGGGCTTAATTTTGTGGACGAGTGTGTCCGTGTGTGCTCTGTAGGTGACACCGTCTCATTTCCCAACGCTCGCTTCAGCCTGTGTGGACTTATAAAGACTATAAAGAGATTGACCTGTGTGTGTGTGTGTGTGTGTGTGTGTGTGTGTGTGTGTGTTGTTCACCTGTGTTCAGGCCGGAGGATCTGCGGCGAGAGTTCGGCCGATACGGGCCCATTGTGGACGTCTACATCCCGCTGGACTTCTACTCGCGCCGGCCTAGAGGATTCGCCTACATCCAATATCCTTTACTGCAGAGCTGCTGTGTGTTTGTGTGTTTGTGTGTTTGTGTGTGTGTGTGTGTGTGTGTGTGTGTGTGTGTGTTTGTTTATAGCTTCTGTCTGCAGGTCTGGAAGCCTGTACAGCGCCCCCTCCTGGAGCTGCACAGTAAAGAGCCTGTAGAGCAGCAGACCGCAGCATAAAGCTGACACACACACACACACACACACACACCTGTCTGTCTGTAGTGTGCACTGTGCAGTTAGAGCCCTTAATAGGCAGCACATTTGAAGATGTCCGAGATGCAGAGGACGCCCTGCACAACCTGGACCGCAAGTGGGTGTGTGGACGGCAGATCGAGATCCAGTTCGCTCAGGGAGACCGAAAGAGTGAGTGTTTGTGTGTGTGTGTGTGTGTGTGTGTGTGTGTGTGTGTTAGAGAGTGTGTCTGTGTGGATGCTCCTGGTGCTGCTGAATGGCACAGATGAAGAATAAGGTGTGTGTGTGTGTGTGTGTGTGTGCGTGTGTGCGCGTGTGTGTTCTCTCTCTCTCTCAGCTCCGGGTCAGATGAAGAATAAGGAACGCTCATCTCCGCGCAGCTCTCGATACGAGGACTCGGACCGGCGCAGACGCTCGCGCAGCCGCAGCTACGACAGACGCCGTTCCCGCAGCCCGTCATACGACAGGCGCCGCCGCCGCTCCGACAGCCCGCGAGAGTGAGTGTGTGTGTGTGTGTGTGAGTTACCCATGATGCTCCAGTGCTGTGCGCGGAGCCTCACACTCACCTTGTGTTCTCTGTCCGCAGGTCCAGAGGAAGAACACACAGCAGACGCAGCCGAGAGCATGACAGGTACACACACACTGTGTGGGTTAAGGCTGATTTATACTTCTGTGTCAAACGCTGGCGTATGCTACGGTGCTGACGCATAGCCTTTCGCCGTGGCTATCGCCGTCACTGACGTGCACCTCTCAAAAAATGTAACTACACGTCGCAACGATGCGTAGCGTAAGCTCTGTGATTGGTCGGCTTGGTATCGCTGACGAGTCTGGGCGGGACCGAGAGCCGCGCGAATGGCGCGAGCGATTGTTTACAAGTGTGGAGTCCTGTGAAGGAGCTCCGGATGGAAAGTTTTGTTTTGTATTTACCTCATAGTTAAAGTTGCTGCACGTCCGCCGGTTCCTGCCTCAAAATGAGCGAGTTTGAGCCACTTGTACATCCCGGAAGTGTTCAGGAAAAGCAAAAAAGCAGCGAAGAAACTCGACACAGAGACACATTTACACCTCACTGCCCACTAGTGCTTCAGAAGTGTTAATGCAGACCGACAGAGACAACAGCAGAAGTGTAAATGCACAGCTACACGCGCGTTGCATGCGCCGTGGGTTACGCCGGTCACCTGACGCAGAAGTATAAACCAGGCTTTAGGGTTAGGGATATTGAATTCATCTCGTTGTTTTTATCTAACGACTCTTCTGTCTTTGGAATCGCTTGTTCTCTGGTAACTCTGTTTTGGCTGAGTGCAAAGATAAGCTAATATATTAATTAATGTGACGTACACTGATTCTGCACAGTGACTGATTGCTGACCTTTATCATATGAATGTATTGTCCGTTATACTGTTATAATGGCCATTATTGATTATTAAAACTGATATTCTGGAGGGTTATGGAGGCAGTTATAGTTAATCCCTGTTTTGTTATAAATATGCAGAGTGAAGATGACGCTCATATAAATATGCCGCTACACCAGGCTGTGTGGTGTCTTAATCATAATATCAAAATGAAACAAATTTGACTGGTATTATGTTTTGATTGTTTAGATAGTGAAACAGCGAGCAGGATGAGGAGAATGAGGTTATAAAGTGCTCGGTTCCCTTTGAAGATGTACCCATGCATCAGCAGTTTGTGTTATGTTTATTGTTGAATATAGGCTGAGTGAATAGTGTGTTGAATAAGCTAAATTGGCTGTAGTGTATGAGTGTGTGTGTGTGTGCGAATGAGCGTGTATGGGTGATTTCCAATACTGGGTTGTGGCTGGAAGAGCATCTGCTGCATAAAACATGCTGGAATAGTTGGCAGTTCATTCCACTGCGGCAACCCCTGATAAATAAGGGACTAATGTGAAGGAAAATAGATGAATGAATAGTGTATTTTTAAGAACTCAACAAATGTTTTTATGGACAGAATAGAGAGATTAAAGTTTGTATTTATTTATTTATTTATTTATTTCATATATTTGGCTTTTGTGTTTTATAAAATATGAATGGATAAAAATGTTGGACGTGCACAGACAGACAGCATTTTGATTGAATGTTGTGGGCCGCTCTGGCCCAAAATGCCAGGGCCGGTTTTTTGCCCCAGTCCAGCCCTGCTAGAGATCAACACTGCACAGGTAAACTGAGCTAGCGTGTTGTCATGGTTACGGTGAGTCGCTAGCGTTACACACAGACCTGCAGACGCACTGAGCCCAGTAGCCAATCCCAGGCCTTTCTGGTGAGCGTGTGATTGCAGGAGCCAATCAGAACAGCTGTAAGTGTTGGCGGGCTGATGTGTGAGCTGCATCAGGAGTGTGTGGAGCAATCCTTCACGAGCGCTCGACTGTAGATGCAGATCTCTCTTATTTAGATCTTAGTTTTAGTGTTGATTCATCCCAGAGCCCTCATCCCCCCTCATCCCACAGCCCCCTCGACCGCCTCACTGCCCTAACCGTCCTGCGTGTGTGTGTGTGTGTCAGATGGGTGGGTCGGGTATGGGATCATGTTAGTGAGAGGTCGGTGTTCTTTAATGCAGGTTTACCAGCAGGACCCCCCCCCCCCCCCACACACACACACACACACACTGCTGCTGGCTCACTTGAGCTGAGTGTGTTTCTGCTGGCAGACGTGTCTGATGGGGACTGAGCAGCTGTAACACACTCAATCAGGACACACATCATGCAGTGTGTGTGCGGTCGGTCTTGTTCTGATGACTGTATGTGTGTGTTTTGTTTACTGATGAGTGTGTGTGTGTGTGTTGTGTGTCATGATGATGATAATGATGGTGTGTGTGTGTTGTGTGTGCAGGCACCGGGGGTCTACACGTGACCACCATCGCTCCCGAACTGATGCCGCGTCCCGCAGCCGCAGCCCGTCCCGCTCCAGAGCCCGCGGGGGCCGGCGGGAGTCAGACGGGGCCCGCTCACACACACACTCTGCCAGCCCACAGCAGAACCACAGCACAGCAGAGAACAAGCACAGCGCAGGGGACGACACACACATACACACACGCTCTGCATCTCGCTCGCGCTCGCGCTCCCGCTCCTGGGCCGGACGCAAATCCTGGGGCCACTGAAGCCGGAGCCGGAGCCGCGCTCGCCAGGACAGTCCAGCCGTCTGATGGGTTATTTTATAAGGGAATCGAGAGTTTTCTAGCGCTCATGAAGATGTGTGTGTGCGTGTGTGTGTGTGTGCCTGCGTGCGTGCGTGCATGTGTGTGTGCGTCTGCGTGTGCGTGTGTGTTTACCAGTGCAGCTCTGCTGAACGAGCGATGGACAGACCTTTTCTTATGTTTTAGTGTGTCGCGGGGCGTCTTCATGTGTTTTATTGTGAACTCTGCTCGTCTGTTTGTACCTCAGAATCAAATAAATTTCATTTCCAGAGTTTCTCTCTTCAGTCCTCACTGTAGTCTAGCCTAGTGTAGTCTCTGATATTAGCATGCGGCGACTCTCTCTCTCTCTCTCTCTCTCTCTCTCTTTCTCTCTCTCTCTCTCTCTCTCTTTCTCTCTCTCTCTCTCTCTTTCTCTCTCTCTCTCTTTCTCTCTCTCTTTCTCTCTCTCTTTCTCTCTCTCTCGCTCTCTCTCTCGCTCTCTCTCTTTCTCTCTCTCTTTCTCTCTCTCTCTCTCTTTCTCTCTCCCTCTCTCTCTCTCTCTCTCTCTCTCTCTCTCTCTCTCATTTAAAAACTCTGATTCTTATTAAATCGTCTGGATTAAACATTGTGATCAGGTGCTGTCAGTCTGCAGCTGCGCATGCGTGTGCGTGTGCGTGTGTGTGTGTGTGTGTGTTCTCTCCAGCTACTGCGTTGCCAGATCCTCCATGTTTGCGTGTCAGAACAGCTGCGCACATCAGCACCAAATCAATACGTTTACTCGCATCCCACAATCCACTGCTTCACAACACTCTGATTGGCTGAAGACCCCAAGGCCCCGCCCACTCAAACTGGCCATCGATTCCTCAAACATCGAGCGAGTGCAGCTAGAGGCAGAATCTTGATTGGGTTCAGAGAGAGCAGTTCATGTATGAAATCGGACGTGACCGATTGATCATTAATGAGGATAATAAGAATCGACAGATGACGAACTGCAGGAGTCCTCCACCACTGAGTGTGTGTGTGTGTGTGTGTGTGTGTGTGTGTGTGTGTGTGTTCTGCTGCAGCGCATCAGATTTATTTGATAGCTGATCTTCCAGATTACCTGAGGGCTCACACACACACACGCACGCACAGACATTACACCCAGCAAACTCGCACAGTATACACACGCGCGCACACACACACACACCTCATTGATTGTTTCTGCTTCAGTATAAAGAGCGCAGCGACCTAGTTTCCTCTCCCAGTGTCGCTGGACGTGGAGCTCTGTGGTGTCTGCCCTCGCTGGGCTCGGTTCAGTGTGTTCCCGCAGTGCCGAGTGTGTGTTGAGTTCTGCAGTGTTCAGCACAGTTCAATCATGGCTGCAGTGTTTCCCCGCAGCTCTGCAACCCTCGGCTGGACCAGGCTTGATCTCAGGGGTCCTCCGGCGTGAGGATGGGGGACTGGAACTTCCTGGGGGGGATTCTGGAGGAGGTGCACATCCACTCCACTATGGTGGGAAAGATCTGGCTCACCATCCTCTTCATCTTCCGCATGCTGGTGCTGGGCGTTGCGGCGGAGGACGTGTGGAACGATGAGCAGTCCGACTTCATCTGCAACACTGAGCAGCCCGGCTGCCGCAACGTCTGCTATGACCAGGCCTTCCCAGTGTCCCTGATCCGCTACTGGGTGCTGCAGGTTATCTTCGTGTCCTCACCCTCGCTGGTCTACATGGGCCATGCCATCTACAAGCTGCGCGCCCTGGAGAAGCAGCGCCACTGCCAGCGTGTGACCCTGCGGCGGGAGCTGGAGACGGTGGAGCCGGAGCTGATGGAGACGCGGCGGCGCATCGAACGGGAGCTGCGGCAGCTGGAGCAGGGCAAGCTGAACAAGGCTCCGCTGCGGGGCTCGCTGCTGCGCACATATCTGGCCCACGTGCTGACCCGCTGCGTGCTGGAGGTCTGCTTCATGATGTGCCAGTATCTGCTATATGGACACCGGCTGCAGCCGCTCTACAAGTGCGACCGGCAGCCGTGCCCAAACGTGGTGGACTGCTTTGTGTCTCGGCCCACGGAGAAAAGCCTGTTCATGGTGTTCATGCAGGGCATCGCGGCGGTGTCGCTGTTCCTGAGCCTGCTGGAGCTCCTGCATCTGGCCTATAAGAAGCTGAAAAAGGGGCTGCGGGACCACTGCCCTGCCCTCAGAGACGGGCCAGCGGACTCCAGTGCCCCCAATAGGAACTCTGTGGGACAGCAGGCTCGCAAGGCCACCATGCCCATGGCACTCAGTGGGTACACCGCACTGCTGGAGAAACAGGGCAATGGCCCCACGTACCCCTCAATCATACACCCGCTGTCTGCCTTTGTGCCGATCCAGGGCCCGTCAGCACCAGACATGGAAAACCGGGATGCCCTGCGCAGCCCGCTGGAACACAACAGCTCCAACAACACCAGCAGCGGGTCCCGGTCTCCATTGGTGCAGGAGCGTGGTCCAGCTGCGTCCCCCAGCGACTACCACACGCTCCCCCAGACAGACTCCTTGCCCCTGATAGCCACACTCCCCCTGACGGACCCCCTGCCCCAGATGGATTTGTTCCCCTTGAGGGATGCAAGCTCTTGTCCAGCTGTCCTGCACAAGCAGCGGCGGGTCAGTCCGCCCTGGAACTGCAGCACTGTGATGGAGAGCACCGGCTCGGACAGCGGAGACTCCAGCAGTGGTGGGCTCAGTCAGGGAAGGAGGACTCGCTGTGGCCGGTCCGTGTCCCGCTCAGACCTGCGGCTCACGCCGGACTCACAGCCTCACTGTGCTGCAGAAAGCCCCTCACTCTCACCCCAGCGGCAGCGGCCAGCGATAGGCAGCAGCAGACGGGCAGACCTGCAGATCTGAGGCTGCAGGACAGTAATCACGGCTCATTCTGCCGCTCCAGACCTGTTCTCTGTGGAACTCTGAAGATGCTGTGAGAAAAGCAAGTTTGAGGAAACCTTTGATTCTCTGTAGTCTGCAGAGCTGGCCAGCGGGAGGAGATGATGACAGGACGATGCTGGACCGTGAACGCGCTTTGCTTGAAGTGTTGTTCCTGCTTGAACATGGAGCTGCTCTGTTGCTCTAGCACAGACGGGTTTCAGTTTTGACCTTTTCATTGCAGATTTTGCCCAAACAGAAAGCGAGAAACTCTTCTCAGACACATTTTTAATAAATAAATTAAACTGATTCTCAATATCTGTAAATGGCTGAGCAGACTCTGTCTGGGTTTGTGAAGGTGGTGTTCCGGCTCGTGTCACACACTGCACTCAGACTGAAAGGCTTTAAATGTTCTGGCGGGTCACGACTCAGTCTGATTTCCACACTGATCTCACATGTAGAGCTCCGCTGCAGGAGGTGCTGGTCTTCAGACGCCTGTGCTGTTGTGCTGGTTGAGTGTCTTGACAGTCCTGATTAAAGATAATGATCTGAACGTGTTGACCTGTGTTTATTCTGGGGGAGGCAGAAGACTGAAACATGCTCTTCAGATTAAATATTGTCCGGCGATTATTCTGATCAGGAGCTCAAACTGTCTGTCAGCAAGTGTACGACTGTTCATGCAGATCTGCAGTTTGCATGCGCACAGGAGAGACGGCGCTACACACATGCGCAGTCAACACTGGTTAAACTCCTGAAGCTGCTCTTATATTCACATTGGGTGATTATTGATCAGTGACGCTCTCTGTATTGTTCACCGCTACTCTGCTCTGAAACAGCATGTCAGTGTGGCTCCATCATCAGTGTAATTCCTGCACAGCGCCGGCTGAGCACTCAGCATACAGTAGTGGCTCTAGGTCAGCGAGTGAGAGCAGCGGTCCGGCATGTATGAAGTATAGCACTGTGTATAGCTGCTGCACCGCTGAGACGTGCTGATACAACACCGGACCTCATTGAGAACTGTAGTATAATAAAGTACTGTAGAGTTCTCTAGCTGGTGAATGGCATGATGGCGGGTTTGTCATCTTCACAGTGTGTGTAATGTCAGGAGGCGTGGCTGTGGACGGCAGGGGAGGGGCTGTTCTCAAAGCTATTATGCCAGGGGTGTCAAACTCAATTCCTGGAGGGCCAAAGCCCTGCACAGTTTAGTTCCAACCCTGCTCCAACACTCTTACCTGTAGGTTTCAAACAAGCCTGAAGGACTCAATTAGTTTGATCAGGTGTGTTTAATTAAGGTTGGAACTAAACTGCAGAGCTGCGGCCCTTTTGGAGCTGAGTTTGACACCTGTATATTCTGCTAACACATAGCTTTAGCAGATCACCTGCAGCACAATAAGATGCATCACAGCTGTTTAACATGAGCAGAGGCTGAACACGGCGTCTGGAGACGGTAAAGCTCATCTACACGTGTCGGTGCTCAGAGCAGATCCTGCAGGCCTCTGTTCATTACTCAGGAGCTGCAGTGCAGTCATTACACCACACACACACACACACACACACACACACACACACACCGCTTACTCCGGCTGGAGAATACACACCACACACTGAAGACGTGCTGCTGTCCCTCTGCTTACTAGAGCACCTGACCAGAGACCGAGAGTGACATGGCATTAGCATGAACACACACACACACACACCATCTCACCCGTTGATCATCATCACTCCTCTAGATGTGATGGTAAGAGCTCAGGAGTCTGCAGTGTGTGTGTGTGTGTGTGTTCTGGATGTGTTCAGGGGCGTTCAACTGAAGTCCATGTGAGTATAGTTTGAAGAATCAGTAAAGAGGAACAGTGAAGTGCTCAACACACACACACACACACACAGCAGGATCATTGCAAAATAATATTTATTCAACATCAGACACAAAGCTGAACAGAAACAATCAACAGGTCTTCAACATCCTGTCACTAAACCAACACACACACACACTTTCTGCAGATCTGCTGGAGCTCCTCTACTCGACTGCTGCTGCTTCATCCTGTGGCGGCTCATACTGCAGCAGCTGTGGAGACACACACACATACACACACACACACACACACGAGATTTGGCTAAGCTCATGTTTAGCAGAGTAATGTGTGAGGGAGCCACTATGTGTGTGTGAGAGAGAGAGACAGAGTACACAAGCACACCTGTCTGTGAGTGAGTGAGCATGTGTGTGTAAGAAAGCTAGCATACCTGTGTAAGAGTGTGTGTGTGTGTGTGCGCTCACCCTGCTCTTCAGCTCCTGGTTCTCCTCCATCAGCTGCTGGTGTTTCTGCTGCAGTGTGTTCAGCTCCTCCCGCAGACTCTCCGCATCCTCCGCCTCCACTCCCGAAACCCCCAGATGATGCTTGATGAAGCTGAAGCGGCTCGTTAAGGTTGGGTTAGTTAAGATAGGAGGAGGCTAGTTTGGGCTATTCTATCTCTTACAGCAGCGCTCATGAATTTGAATAAAACATTGATATTATTCACAAAGATGAGCACAAACTCAGCAGACAGCGGGAAACATGGCGGGGTGAGGGTGTGTGTGTGTGAGGATACTCCAAGGCATTGTTGGGCTTCTCCGTTTCCTCGTACAGCGCCACTAAGACTGAAACGCAGACATCAGATTAAACACACGCTGAGGAATGATATTCATCATCATCATCATCATCATCACGGGCTGAAACTGCCTGGACTCACCGTTGGTCAGGCTGTCGAGGACTCCAGCTTTCTCCAGATATCTCCTGAACTGCTCACGCTTCGACTCGGATGCCTGAAACAGAAGAGAAACACACATTACAGAAACAGTTCATCAGGCGGTGTTGTCTACAGCAGAGTGAGCTACACACACACACACACACACACCGCTGGAGCTCTCCACACTCATCATTACAGCTCCAGCTGAAGCTCATCAGCTCAGAGAAGACGCTTCGCTCCAGACACCACACACAAACACGCATATAAACACACACACACACACACACACATAAACACACAAACACACATACAAACACACACGGGCAGCGCGTTTCTTTAGCGCTGGTTTAACACTGGTCTGCGTGTGGACCGTCGCCTGAGGCAGACAGGAATGAAGGAACCTTCAGCGCGGGTCTTCAGCTCCTCTGACTGAGCTCAGCTGCGGACGCCTCTCAGCGCTCTCCGTTTCCGGTCTCATTAAACGGCGTGTCTAAGCTCGACTTTCAGCGGTTAGCTTGTTTGTGTTTGTGTGTGTGTTTGTTTGTTTGTTGTTTACTCACTCTGTAATGCGCCATCGCGGACGACAGACACCAAATGTTTGACTCGCTGATAGACTCTCGCGTGCACATGCGCAGAGGAAAGACGGAACAAACACACACACACCGTCACCCAGGCAACGCTTAAAGGGGCGGCAGCGACATCCATAGATATATACACTAGATATCGCATAGGGAGCCTGAGCATGCGTCAATAGTGCCGCCACATTGGTACAGTGCTCCCAGGACAATGTCATTCAAGACAGTGTTATTACGTGAAGATGCGGGACTTTAGCGCTGTCTACGGGTGTAGTAACGAGCAAACAAAGAAAACAAAGCACAAAGGCAGAACATTTCATAGGTAAGATTAAGTTTTTTACGTTTTTGCATGTTCTGAACTTTTGTGCTAAACAGGTAACGTTATTGATGATAATACAGTCACTACTGCATTCACCATACGGCAAAGCAGCTCCAACTCGCACTAAACACTCGGCTTATGCTAGTTTTGTTGAATAAAATCAGCAAACAATGCAAAAGAAATATGAAAACGACATGCTGCGCTGCCAGAAACATGTATTACTGTCGGCAAGTGAACGAGTCGCTCACCCTCACAACACGACACACCACAACACGACACACCACAACACAACACACAACACGACACACCACAACACACCACGACACAACACAACAACACGACACACCACAACACAACACACAACACGACACACCACACCACACCACGACACAACACAACAACACGACACACCACAACACAACACACAACACGACACACCACACCACACCACGACACAACACAACAACACGACACACCACAACACAACACACAACACGACACACCACACCACACCACGACACAACACAACAACACGACACACCACAACACAACACACAACACGACACACCACAACACAACACGACACACCACAACATGACACACCACAACACGACACACCACACCACAACACAACACACCACAACAACACGACACACCACACCACAACACAACACACCACAACAACACGACACACCACACCACAACACGACACACCACAACACAACACGACACACCACAACACACCACAACAACACGACACACCACAACAACACGACACACAACACGACACACCACAACACGACACAACACACAACACAACACACCACAACACACCACAACACGACACAACACAACACACAACACGACACACCACAACACACCACAACAACACGACACACAACAACACGACACACCACAACACGACACAACACGACACACCACAACATGACACAACACAACAACACGACACACCACAACACAACACAACAACACGACACACCACAACATGACACACCACAACATGACACACCACAACACGACACACCACACCACAACACAACACACCACAACAACACGACACACCACAACACGACACACCACACCACAACACGACACACCACAACACAACACGACACACCACAACACACCACAACAACACGACACACCACAACAACACGACACACAACACGACACACCACAACACGACACAACACACAACACAACACACCACAACACACCACAACACGACACAACACAACACGACACACCACAAGACGACACACCACAACACAACACAACACACCACAACACAACACACAACACACCACAACACGACACACCACAACACAACACACAACACGACACACCACAACACGACACACCACAACACAACACGACACACCACAACACGACACAACAACACGACACACCACAACACACCACAACAACACGACACACCACAACACACAACACACCACAACAACACGACACACCACAACACACAACACACCACAACAACACGACACACCACAACACACAACACGACACAACACGATACACCACAACACGACACTGCTGTTATTGTCGGTTCACTGCAGTAGGGGTGTTTCTGAAGTAATTTATCAGTGTGTGTTCAACTCTGTGTGTGTTCCACTCTGTGTGTGTTTGACTCTGTGTGTGTTTGACTCTGTGTGTGTTTGACTCTGTGTGTGTTTGTCTCGGTGTGTGTTCCACTCTGTGTGTGTTTGTCTCGGTGTGTGTTCCACTCTGTGTGTGTTTGTCTCGGTGTGTGTTCCACTCTGTGTGTGTTTGTCTCGGTGTGTGTTTGACTCTGTGTGTGTTTGTCTCGGTGTGTGTTTGACTCTGTGTGTGTTTGTCTCGGTGTGTGTTCCACTCTGTGTGTGTTTGTCTCGGTGTGTGTTTGACTCTGTGTGTGTTTGTTTCGGTGTGTGTTCCACTCTGTGTGTGTTTGTCTCGGTGTGTGTTTGACTCTGTGTGTGTTTGTTTCGGTGTGTGTTCCACTCTGTGTGTGTTTGTCTCGGTGTGTGTTTGACTCTGTGTGTGTTCGTCTCGGTGTGTGTTTGTTTCGGTGTGTGTTCGTCTCGGTGTGTGTTCGTCTCGGTGTGTGTTTGACTCAGTGTAACAGGCTTGGAGCATGTAGAGTATAGAGAGCTCTGTGTGTGTGTGTGTGTGTGTGTGTGTGTGAGGCTGTACTGCTTCATCTGTTCAGGCTCAGTTCGTCGTCAGCGGTGACCGCATGCAGCCCAAAGCGAGCAGCAGTATGAGAGTTCCGCTAGTGCTAACGCTCTGCTCTTCGCTAACGCTAGCGTCTTCTCTCCGCAGGTCATGCAGTCGCTGCGCTTCGCTCTGCAGCCGGCGGTGGAGGAGCTGTGTGTGGACTGGAGGCTGTCTCCGCTCGTCCGCTCGCTGTTCCAGGGTCAGAGGCGCTGCTGAGGGGGCAGGTGAGGGTCACAGTCACTCTGAGTCTGGGGTACGTCAGGCTAAAGGCACTGATCAGCTGACCATGAGCATCGCCATCGCCCGCTCAGCCTTCACTCCAACAGCGCTCTGAGGTTCTGCTGGTCAACACTACAGAAGAGAGTTTGAAGAATGCTGGCGCCCGTCCACATGATGCTGTGGAAGTGGATGGTGAACCAGCATTCTTCAAAACATCTCCCTCTGTGTGCAGCAGACACACACACACACACACGCACACACACACACACACACACACACACACACACACACACACACACACACACAGCACTCTGAGATGAGCTGTCCTATTACTGTGTGAGCGTGTGTGTGTGCTTATGTGTGTAAGTGAGTGTGTGTGTGTGTGTGTGTGTGTGCATGATGCATGTGTGTGTGTGTGTGTGTGTAAGAGTGTGAGCACAGATGAAGCTCCAGTAAACTGCTTCAGTCCAGTTTTGCTCTTCATTTCATTGAGAGACACGAGAGCGCTGACCCTAACCTCAGACAGACAGACAGACGCCGCTCACTCCTCATGATGATGAAGATGATGAAGATGATGATCTCTGCATTCTGAATCTGATCTACCTCTCGTCACAGAGCTCAGTGGAGAGCAATAAAGCTGTGATGATCAAATACAAGCTGAAGAACACACCGATGACCAACCAGCTGCAGTTTACACTCACACCAGCGGGAGACACTGGGTAACCACACACACACACACACACACACACAGACACACACACACACACAGACACACACACACACACACACACACACACACACACACACACACACACACACACACACACACATACACACACACACACACACACAGACACACACAGGCATACACAACTTCACTATCTGCTCTGACAATCTGGCTCTGCTAGTTTGGCTAGTTTACCAGGTGTGTGTGTGTGTGTGTGTTTGTATATATATGTGTGTGTGTGTGTGTGTGTATGTGTGTGTGTGTGTGTCAGCACTCATATCTTACAGTATTAACCGTACAGCTTCTCCAGTGGTGCGGTGCTTTCAGCCTTCTGTGTGTTCTTTAATTTTTCTGTGTGTGTGTGTGTGTGTGTGTGTGTGTGTGTGTTGATCACAGATGTCAGATGTTGGAGTGTGTTCTTGTGTTCATCATTCTGCTGTGTCCTGATCTTCAGTGATGGTGGTCCAGTATCTCTGTCTCTTCATCAGTAATCCGCTTCTCTTCTGCCAGAGTCACTGGTCGTGTTCAGAGCTGGGTCTAACACTGATTAAAGCTCCTCTAACCCGTCTCTGTGGAGTCAGCATCAGTGTTCCAGGATGGTCATACACGACTGTAAAACACTCTCTCACCTCTGTGCACTTTTGATTGGTCTTTCACAGGTATTGCAGAGGCGATGATCTGTCCAATCACCTTGTGCGTGCCTCAGTTAACGTCACGCTTCCTCACACACTGAGCTTCTGAGAGTTCAGCATGACGAGTGAAGGAGACCAGCGCAGCACAGAGCCGTGAGTGTTAAACAGACACACACACACACACACACACACAATTCCATCTCTTCGCACAGGTTACCTGCTGTCTGCGTAAACCTGTACTGAACTATTATCTGCAGAGTTGTTGAGACCAGTTTAAGCTCTTTTCTTTATTTTTCTTTAGTATTTTATTTGAACTAACAAAATCAAACTGGCCTGCTTTTCTGATGAATGAGGGAACATGCGCATCTGCAGTCATGTGTGAAGCCTGCGGCAGCGTCAGGTGTCTGTTACCCACTGAGTGTGTGTGTGTGTGTGTGTGTGTGTGTGTGTGTCTGTTTTATTTTCTGTAGCCATTTTTTTAAAGGGCCATGAAACCCCCTCGTTTCAGCAGGGTGTTTTCACACCTCTTCTTTGGAAAAAGTCAGAAAAGTGGGGGTGTCCAGCTCTGTTAAGGGGGGAGTGTCGGAGAAACTAAAGTGGGAGGGTGTGGGAGTGTCTATTTGGGCACGCGCGAGTTTCAGTCAAAATACACAGGAGAAAGGGATGGTGTTTAACCTACATGGACATCTGTAGTCGAATTATTTGCCAAATTATTAAATGTCGGACTTTAACTGCAGTTCGGCTCTTTCATTCAGGGAATTCATTCATGCCCCTCGCGACAAATGAGATATCTGATTCGAGATACTGCTCTAAGCGTGTATTTTTCATGCAATGTTTGATACCGCACGGCGAATGACAGAAAAAAAACTCCGCAT